ATTGTCGTAAGACATATTGTGTATTCCACCCTTAGCTTCATCACATTAGCAAATTGAACTAGTATGTTATCTATGTCTTTAGCTTAGGCATTGATAAAAATGCTAAGGAACACAGAGTCCAGCACCTATGCTTGGGGGCACTCCAGATATCTCCTTCCAAGTTGATGTCAAACAATTAACTGTCACTCTTTGGATCTAGTCATTTAACCAATTCCAAATCCATCCAACTGGCTCATAATTATCCATCTTGACCATATAGTTAGTATATGGCACCATGCCAAATACTTTGCTGAAGAACATTACATCTACAACATTCCTTTAATCTACCATTCAAGACACTTTCTTGGGATGCTGGTTTATTTGCGGTACAAACACGTGATTTCATCCAATGGAGGAATTCTACCTATGGAAAGTCCATCCACTGATGCTACTCAGCAACTAGGTCTATTATGGTCTGAGAGTTGCCTGGGGCACAGGGAGATGAAGTGGTATAGCTTAATTGTGGGCACCTCAAAGCTCTGTCCTAAGCCCTCTTCTTTTTTCTCTCTTTGTGTGGCTTCATCAGCCTCCATGGATTCAAATATCATTGCTATGTAATTGACTCTCAAATCTATATTGTGTGCCTATGACGTGACCCCACACAACTCATGCAACAGAAGCTGGATCTCAAAGGGGAGACTGGGAGGGCAGAGAGAGAGAGAGAGAGACAGAGAGAGAGAGAGATTAAAGAAAGAAACAGAAGCTCCACCAGTCAGTTTTGATGCCTGGTAATACTTCTGATGAATAGCTTGGAGAAAGAAAAGAATGAAACTATGACAAAAGGTAGTTTGAAGTACTAATGTTGTATTTCAATTATGCAGGCTTCCATGAGCCTTAGGACAAACCAGATAGCAACTGAAAACAAACTTACACTTAAATGACTACAGTGAATACTACTGAAAGTATTTAATGGTTAAAGGCCAAAATATGGATTTCATATATGGATTTTTTGCAGGAGTTTGTCCTGATAACTGCAACTTAAAAATAAGAACCTCCACAGTATGTGTATGTGTTCTTTGAATCCTTCTTTTCTTCTATTTCTCTGGTTGCCCTTTTACACCATCTCTATCACTGAACAATTTTACATTCCCAATTTTCCATCTCCCTTAAAGCCAACACCCCTTTCTCATCATCCCTACTCTCAAATTTATTATTATTTTACATAGTCAGTTTTCAATTTCTTCATTTTTTCCCCAAGAATCCATGACAGGATTGATTTAATGGGAGGATACAGAGCCTCATTAGTGTGCAATAATGGCTTGGAAACTTGTTTCAGATAACTAAATTCTACCAATTACTGACTGAATAAACTTGATAAAAAACCATCAAGAATATTGGAAAATGTACTTTTGTAGCTGTGCTAGTCTGGTTCAGGATTTCAAGGAGCAGAAATAGCACCTCACATTCAGGGGATCTAATTATTGGGTTGACTGAATAATATACAAACCTTATGGACATATTCACTAATACAAGAAGGGTACAAAAGACCTGCACAAAGTCACTTTATTGCCCACCCTCTGGGTCCCTTTCTTTTACTAGTCTGGAAAAAAATGAAACTGTTCCCCGAAGCTAAGCACTATGCAGACAATAATAACATGCTATCTCTCCCCTACCCCACTCTCCAACACCGGCCCAAAGGACATGCAGAAGTTATTCCTATCATCTCTATCACCTCTGTGTCTGGTAAAATTGTTAAAAGTGGCTTCTGATTCAAATGTCTTCAAATATTAACCTACTTCCTCTTCTGCTAATGTAGGCAGTTTATATTTTTGCAAATGTTCTACCATTTCACTTAAATTTTTAAATAAACTGGCATATAATTAGGTATGTACAGAACAGTTTTACTTATATATACATATATATTTGTATCTAATGGTAGCCATCTTGGAAGGGGAGGGAAAAAAAGCAAGTTACATGATAACTTTATTACATATTTAAAAGGAATAGCAAGTTGTACATAATAGATTTGCAGTTTCATGTACAATCACCTTTTTTTTTTCCTATTCTACTATGTTATGGAAATGCTTGTTTTATTTCTTAAGTTCAGAATAAAATAAATAAAATTTTAACCTAAGCGTTGCTGTCCTGTGCTTTATCTAAGGTTCATTTCTACAACTGTATTTTGTTTTGGGTGAAGTATTGTCATGGAAAAAAATACGGATTTATAATCAGAGGACCAAGGCCTAGCTCTGTTACTGACTACCTAAGTAAGTGATTTAATTTCTTTAGTCCTCAGTTTTCTCATCAGTTCTTCCATATAGCATACCCTAACTGTGGCTAAATCTCAAGCCTCTGTCCTAAGTCATCTTCTTTGTTTTTTTTTTTTTTTCTATTTTCTGTCTCTTTATGATTTTATCAGCTTCCATGTAGTCAGATATCATCTCTATGCAAATAACTCTGAAGTCTATAGATCCAGCTCTGGTCTCTCTTCTTTTTTTTCTGTTTGTTTTTGTTTTTGTTTTGTTTTGCTGGGCAACAGGGTTAAGTGACTTGCCCAGGCTCACATAGCTAATAAGCGTCAAGTATTTGAGGCCGGATTTGAACTCAGGTCCTCCTGACTCCAGAGCCAATGCTCTATCCACTGCACCACCCAGCTGCCCCTCTAGTCTCTCTTCTGAACTCTAGTACTGCATCACCAACTGCCTATTTATCTGGAATGAATTTCATATATTTGGTACACAGACACGTGTGATCTTCCCCAATAGAAAGTAAGCTTCCTTAAGGGCAAAGTCTATTTTATTCTTGTCATTGGATGCTCAATGCCTATCACACGGCCTGGCATAGAATGGAAGCTTATTGACTAACTGCATCTATAAAATGAAAAGACTGGACTAGTTGGTCTCTAAAGTTCCTTCCAGAACCAAATTCAGTGATCCTAAAATGCCTGTATTTTCCAGCTTAAGGCTGATTTGGGAATGTTAGGCAGATAAGTGAGCCCAACTCGAGCTCCCAAACTATGATATTAGGGTAGAGATAAACCAATCTCTCAAGACAAAATGCTCCAAAGTCTTATTTCTTAACATGTTCTGGGGAAGGGAGAGGGAAGGTCCTGCTTATTTTAAACGTGAATGAAGGTGGTTTAAAGTGGATTCCTACAAGGCTTGGGAAATTGAAATTGGGGCTGTTCTCTCAGTCATCAGCTATTGGGAAAAAGACCTTTTTTCAGATATTGTTAATAGATGCTGACAGTAAGCTTGAACTCAGTGTGACCAATACTGATTCTAGAAGATGGATGATAAAACATTCTCCTCCCTTCTATGTAAGAACAATTGGGGCAGGGGACGAGGAGGAGGGTACTGTCTTATAACAACATGGAATATGCAGACCTGATTATGACCCAGTGGGTTTTACTCAGCTATTTTTAATCTGTTAAAAGTGTGCTGGTGGTACAAATAATTATAACACAACAATGTATTAAAAATATCAATAATTTTTTAAAATAAATAAGCAAATGAATTTATGCTCCCTTTTACTTTTATGCTTTCTTCTGACTTTGCTTTTGTTTTTCCATCCATGGATCATGGTCAAGCCAATGTTTAAAAACAAATTGTATTTATATGTTTTGTTTTTACATTACCTTCATTTAAAAATATATCCTTTCCCCTTCTCCTACCCATTGAGCCACTACTTGTAACAAAAAAATAAGACAGAAGTAAGAAAAAAGAAATTCAATAAAACTAACACAAATATCTTATCTCAGAGTATATGTAATGTTCCATACTCATAGACCCCTCCCTCTGCAAAAGAGAAAAGCATTTTGATTATACAGAAACCCAATTATAAACAAAAAAGCAAATTTTTCAAGAAACACATGTAAGCTTATTATTACAATATGATATGGTATTGGCAAAGATCCACCTGCATGGTCTGTGCTATACACCTGGATACCTAGGGTACATATACATACTCTGACTTGAAACATGAATGGTTCAGAAGACCTTGCTAACAACAGACTAACAAGAAAATTGAGAGCTTCATTTATTTTGCCTTTTGACAAAATGGTATGTATTTTGTATTTAGCATTTAATTATTTTATAAGCAGTTGACTTTGTAGAACAAAATCCAGCCTTGGACACTCTCTTCTGACAAAGTCTCTCCCACAACTACAATAAAACCATTCAAGCCTATGACAGATGTGGCTATGGGGGTCACTTTGTTCAACAATATGTTGACTCCTGACATCCAATGAGATGTAAAACAAGAAGACAAGTTCACCTAAGGTGTTTTCTATCATCATGGAACTTCCCCAGAGTTCAAACAAAATAAGATTCCCTACTGATGGTGATGGTCCTCAAATGTTCGTATTCTCAAGTGACACTACCAATTAATTGCATGGAGGCCGGAACACTACCAAATCTCATCAGTGAAATTCACAGTAACACTAACTAGTCACAAGAAAGAAACACAGTGGATGAAAAGTACATCTTGAGGTACGCTATCAATACAGCTGTACACTACCAATACAGTTTGGCAATCAGCTGAGTTTAGCAATGAGTAATAGAGGGAGGTCTTGCTGGTTCTTATTTAGGAAACTATGCAGTGGCTTCAAGGACCTTAGACTGGCCAGTGTCACAAAAGAACATTTTTTTTAGCACCAATAATGTCTGGGTTGCTAAGTGGTTGTGGTTCATGATCTTGGAAGAATCAAAATTACAAACAAACAAAAAGTGCAAAGGTGAGTATAAGTATTCTCTGAGTATTTTATGAAGGATGGTTCATATGCAACAAGTAGCATAAAATACATTATCCAGGATGCATCTGACTAGAAAAGGAGGTGGGCTGGTCATGCAGTGAGAATGAGAGAAGACAGATGGGCAACTGAGAGTGGTACCTTGATACCCTCAGGATATTAAGAGAACTAAGGGAAGGGCTCCAATGAGTTGAAAATATCCTTAGTAGAAGATTTATGGGGAGAAACAGACAAAAACTGCCAAGGAAGCACTAAAGTAAGGAGTAAGTACCTGAATTGACTAGCTGTTGCTCCATGATCCCACAGCCCAGCACCTCAATCCATTCTCCTTGAAAGTTGATCTCCATCTCAAAAGACGGATGAGTGAAAGGGAAGTAGCAGTCCACCCATCTAATCTCCAGTCCTGCAACAAATATTTCAAATAAATAAATAGTAGGTGTTAAAAGGCTTCCCCACTCCCTCCAAGTGGATCAAACTTGCCCTTCAGCTAATGACACCAATTACTGTATTCTGAGGAAAATAAATAGCAAACAACCTAATTTGCAACACGTTAGTGTGAGGCAATAAATCTTTAAACTTGTGGGAAAAATGACCATGTCTTTTCTAATATGAAAAACACTTTGTGCAATTCCAGTACCCTCTGAAACAAAATCAATCACTTGTCAAATTTCTGCAACCACCTGGCAGAGGAAAGCCAAGATCATGGGAAAGTAGGTAATTCTGTTATTTTCTGTAAGTGGAAATGACAAACAGCTCCTCAGAGGCTGGCAATCTGGGGGAGGAGACTTATTTTTTCAGTGTGTTGTCTTTCACTTTAAGTCATTTTCATTATGACCCATTAAAGAAAAACTGACCTACTTTCATTTCTGTTTAGACACAATAGAAAACTTTTTTTAAAAATTTCCCTCTGAATATTCCAGTGCTACTTCAAACAAGTACTAATGATTAATCCCAGAATTACATCTAATTTTTCTAAATCATCATTGTATACTATCATTTTATCCTCATGACAATTCTAGGAGGTGAATGTCCATTTTACAGATGAGGCAGACATTGATTTAATTGACTTGCCCAGAGTGACAGTCACTATGTGTCAGAGGCAGGATATGAACTCAAGTCATTCCAGTTCCAGGACCAGTGGCCTATCCACTGCGTCATCCAGCTGCCTAGATCTATTATATCTACAGGGTCAGTTAGAACCTCCAAACTCAGTCTCTCACACCCTTCAGTAAAGAGGCACTAATGGCCACAGCTGCATGATGTAGTTCTCACTGTCAGGAAACAGAGGTAGGAACTGCTTGGTTATATGGGGAGAAAGGTTGGCTAATGAAAGGACATCATCTCTAAGGTCTGTCCCAGGCATAAAAAACATCCATTGGCTCGAAAACTCTTGTGACCCTCCTTTGTGAGTCACAGCAGGTAACTGTCACAAGCCACATTAACAGCTGTGCTCTCCTGAAAGACTAGATTTCCAGAAACAATTTTGGGCATAGAGTATGCACCTCACAAACACTTTCCCAAGGCAGGACTGCAGTTAATTTCCTTTGAACAGCACCTACATCAGTTCATTGAGCTCTGGGCACTTAGCTACTGTTTAATCATAATGATAATGAAAAATACATTAAAATAGGAATAAAGGCCAAGCTCACTTTGCATGTCTTCATTTCATAGAATGTTACACATAAATTAAGGGGGATTCAATTTACTTATCTGAATAACTTATCCATATGTAAATGATTATAGGATAGAGCCAAAGAACTTCAAAAAAAGTAAAGGCGGGAAGGGACTGAAGAAGGTATCAAAGTGTCAACACACTAAGTGAAGCCTGTACCTAATGTACTTGCTGATTAAAATCAGTGAGTAAATGATGTTTATTACTCCCTTACTAAGAGTACAGAGCTTTCCTGTGAGCTTTCATCACAAAAACCAAAAACCAGTAATACCCATATACTACATTTGAGGCATTCTGCATTGTTGCGCTTATAAACTATTTCCTGGATTCTTCAATAGAATGGTATAGAAAGAGGAAGGTACCTAAGGGATTTTGGGGGACACACAGAGATCCTGCCCTCTCTCCCCTCCACTCCCTGCCCCCACCAATTTTCCTTGTGCATAAATGGTTTGGGTTTGATTTTTTTAAAAGAATTTTATTTCTGACAAAAATGAATTAATAAAGTGTTTAAAATAAGGTATTCATATATAGCCTTTACCCCATCCTTATAATTTGGTGGATGGTAAAGTCTTTGTACAATGGACCTCTGACTCCTCTCTCTTCTCACCTACTTCAGATTCCTCCATCTTCTGCAGTAGAAGAAAACTGTTCTAAGTTTAGAAGTACTCACGTGAAATCAAGAAATAAACTTACATATTAAGGGACAGAAAAATTTGTCTCAATTCAGGCAAACCTTCAATGTTCAAAAGTCCATGACAGTGATAAAAATGAAGAATGGAAAAAAACAGAAACTGCTGATAGTGATAGCTCAGAAAATAAGATTGATTAGACAAAGATCCAGGTAGCAGAAGTCATATTCAGTGAATTTCAGCCTTTTTTTTTTCCTCCTTTCTTTCATCAGCTCTTTTCCTGAAAGATAAGTGCTTTCTACATCTGCCTGACATGCAGGCCACAAAACAAATAACTTTGGTTTCTCTCTAATGTGATGCTTTTTTTTCCTATACTCAAGTCTTTCGCCCAATTCTTGTAAATTGGCAAAAATTAAAGACTATTAAACTCCTTAAAGTTCAGCAGTATGCTGCTCCACTTGTAGTGACAATGTAAAATATTTGGGAGGAATTTTAATTAGTACATTATTATTTTTGAAACATACTATATTTCAGTTTACACATTAGGTTCTATTTATGTGACCAACTATTATTATTATTTTGACCACAAAGTCAAAAGATGAAACCTTTGAGCTCACCTTGATCTCTTTACATGGTACGGAAATGGCCATTGAAGCCACATAAAGATGACTGAAGATATTTCATTGTTGGGATGTGCTATGTGTGCTCAAAAACTCAATGAGAATGACAGACTGTATCAAGGCTAATATGGAGTTAGGTCACAAAAGGAGGTGTCAGAGGCCAAAAACAGAAAGAAAGAAATTAGTCAGTCACAAGCATTAGTAAGTGTTTACTATAAGGTAGGGAATATGCTAAGCACCGAGAATATAAAGGAGGGGAAAGAGCAAGGTCTCAAGGACCCCCAATTCTAATGGGGGAGTCGACATGTAAATAACTGTGCATAAGAGATATATACTGTGTAAACAGAAAGTAACTTCAGGGAGAAGCCCCTAAAGGAGGTGGAGGGTCAGGGTGGCAGACAGGACTGGACTTGGACTGGGAAAGGTCTTGAAGGAATCCAGGGAAGCCAGGAAGAACAAGTGAGAAAGGAAAGAATTCCAGAGAAAGCTATTCCATGGATAATAACAAAGTGAAAACTCACAGAATCAAGAGATGGAGTGTCTTGTGCAAGGAACAACATGTCCCAGGTAGGTGGATTGTCAAGAAAATGAAAGGGGAAAAAAAAGAAAAGAAAATGGAGGGGAACAAAGCATAAGAAGATTTAAAAGGTAGGAAAGATCCCTTGTAAGGATTTTTTTAAATGCCAGAGGATTTTATATTTGATGCTGGAAGTAACAGAGGGCCACTGGAGCTTGTTCAATACAGGTTGACATCTCAGTCCTGCACTTCAGGAAAAATACTTTGGCAGCTGAGTGGAGGACAGATTGTAGTAATGAGAGACTCAAGGCAGGGAAACTAGCCAGAAGGATATATCAATAGTCCAGGCATGAAGCGGTAAGGAGGGACAGAATGCCTGTGGTGTGAGTGGAGAGATGAGGACATATACATTCTACCTTATGAAGGCAGAAATGACAAGATTTGGCAAGAGGTGGAATATGCAGGGGGAAAAAAGCAAAAAGAGGAGTAGAGGATGACACTGAGATTGTGGGCCTGGATGCTGGATTCTAGTGGCACCTTTAACAGTAAATGGGAGATCTGAAAGGGGAGGATTTGGAGGGAAGATAATAAGTTCAATTTTGGAAATACTGAGTTTGAGATGACTGTGGGTCATCAGGTCCAAAAGGCAGTTGGTGATGTTAGATTAGTGCTCAGGAGAGGGAACAGGGCTGGATATATAGGTCTGGGAATCATCTTCATAAAGGTGATAGCTGAACCTATGATGGCTGATAAAATAAGCAAAATACATAAAGGGGAAAGGGCCCAGAATAGAGCCTTGGGGGACACTTATGGTTAGGAGGCTAGATCTGAACAAATAAAGAAAAATCATATTCAAGTTTCAGAACTCAGACTTCTGGAGAGAAGAATTTCACTACAGCTCCTCACAGGGAGAATAAACATGTGCCATTGAAGCTAGAAGAACAGGAAGGGACAGAGCCTGGGAAAAGAAGAACAGAACTAGAAAACCCTTTCTACTACTACTATGAGTAACAGCCACTGTGTAAGTTCAATGAGAAGGAGATTGGATTTCCAGCAACCCAAGTTTTAAAATTCCAGCTGAGACAAGTTGGAGAGCTTTATAGTTCCATGTGAAGAGGTGGAACTCATTAGAAGAAAAGAGCATTTTCCTTTTTTTGGGAAGCCCCAAAATTAAAACAGCACTGTAAGTCTAGAGGACAGTACAGTTCTCTGGGGAAATGTGAGGCTTTTCCTATAACTTCCATTTTAAGAAAAGGCCCCCAGGCCAGCCAGGTTCATGCCTTTATTGGCCTTCTTTCTCCACTTTTCCAGAGTAGCCTTCTCATCCTGGAAGCTGCCTTTGCCACCACATCTCAGCAAGCCTTCTCATCCTGGAAAATCCCCCCAATTCAAGAGATCTTTTCCTCTGAGTGACCATTTCCTTTAAGCTCCTCCATGTGAGGGAAGGGTCACCAGGGCAGCCATGTTTACTCCTTCATTCCTTCCTGAGCTCCACTCCTGACTCTGCAGACTTCATCATATGTACTCTCCATTCTACATTCCTCTTCAGCTTCCTTTTATATGTTGTCTTCCTCCATTAGAATGTAAATTCCTTAAGGGCAGGGACTGTCGTTTTGCTTCTATCTATATTCTGTATCCCCAGTGCTTAGCACAGTGCCTGGCACATAGAGTTAGTGCTTAATAAATTCTTGTTGACTTTACACAAGGATGAAAGAGCTCATCTCTCCGCCATCCCCTTGTGTTTGCCTTTCAGTGGAATATCAACTATAGAGTAGCACTATGAGTCTGGAGGACTATGTTTGGGGAAAGTAGGTGAAGTTATCTTAACTATTATCTTGACTTACAGGTTCCTGAAAGTCCTGTTTTGAAAATTTTTCCTGAGATGAAGAAAAGACAATAAATGTGTGTGTGTGTGTGTGTGTGTGCGTGTGCTTGAGTGCTTTGTATAGGTGCTAAGGGCCCCAA